TTTACCTGTTGAATAGATTGTCTCATTGTAACAGACCAGAAAGTTGACTGATTTTGCAGTCTGATAAACATGTAGTTTCTATCATCTTTGTCCCTGTTTATTTTTCTCAGAGCAGTATTTTGTGTTTCCCTTAGGTTTTAAGCTAATTTGTTGGACCCCAAAGATAAAGGAACAGGGAGCAATAGGATATCACCCCCTCTTATCAAAAAGCAGTCTTTAGAATGGCCTTTAGTTCATGGATGAAAAGGCTTAATCAGAGATCATGATGACTCGTAATTAATGCATTTTCTCACTGTTAATCATATTCTTTATAGATGCACATACTCAGGGTTTTCATTGTTGAATGTATTTTAGAAAACAGAGTCAAATAACAGGGGTTATAACATTTTCTCTACCTCACGTCAGACATGACATTGCTCTCAATTTCTCTTGTTAATTGAAGTCCATAAAATGGGAGATTTAAAATTTCGAACCATAGAATCCTCCCTGGTGGCCTAGGGATTAAGCTTCAGTACTACCACTGGGAAGGCCCTCCTTGGTGAGCTAACCTACAGGGTGCAGCAGACCTCTCCTGTCTCACCCACTGCTCCCCTCAGCAGTGTATTTAAGTAGATCTGCCTGTTCTGTTCCCCACTCTGTCTCTGGTGAATCCCCCCCTCCCCCCACAAACACCCCCAGCACCTCTGGCCTATACCCCAGTTCTTCTATGCAAAAATAAATAAATAAATCTTTAAAAATAATACTTTTTTTCAACCAGAGCATGAATCTGAAATTGAACTAGTCAGTCTTTTTTTGGGTGGGGGTGGGTTGAATGTTTTCTCCTTTTTTTTTTTTTTAAGATTTATCTATCTATCTATCTATCTATCTATCTATCTATCTATCTATCTATCTATCTATCTATTTATTTATTTATACAAGAACTGGGGTACAGGCCAGATGCGCGAGAGGGTGAGAGGACTCACCAGAGACAGAGCAGGGACCAGAACAGGCAGACTGATGAAATACACTGCTGAGGGGAGCCGTGGGTGAGACAGGAATGGTCTGCCATGCCGTGTGGGACCCTCGCCAGCCGGCCGGCTGGGATCAAACCAGTGATGTTGAGGCTGCGGACAGCTTCACCACACTGGACAGCTTCACAGCACTGTGCTCAACCTCCTGTGCCACCAGGGGAGACCCAAATGTTTTCTTTTTTGAAGGTAGGGGGTTGAAGACCAGGAAAGGAGAACAGAGCAGGAGAGAAACTGGCCAAGTACTGGAAGGTACTACTAGATTGTGGGTGGTGAGACTCTGCTTGGATCACATTATCCCACCCCCGCCCTCCAAGAAAAAATTCCTTTGCTTGCACTTCCCTCCCTCTCTTTTTCCCACCAAAAGGAGTCTTCCTCTTTTCCTTTTTCCTTTTCAGTGGCCTTAAGCATAAGCAGAGACAAGCAGCCCAAACACATCTGAGGTCTTACTGGTGCAAATCTTCCCTAAGGCAGAGATAGTTCTTTTACATATGCCATCCAGGACAGCAGAGTGTGACATCACAACTCTAATAAAGCCCCTGTCAGTCTTAGAGGCTCCCCTGCTCCCCCCACCCCCACACACAGATGAAGGTACTTCTGAATTTTCCCACTAGAGACAAGGGTTTTGTTCCCTAATTAGAGGTAGTCTGGGAAATGCTAGCACTTGTGAGAATGCCCCAGCAGTATTGAACACCTTAGTTCTGTGACTACTATGATACTGTAGTCCCCTTTCTTAGGGAGCGAACCAACTGGTGGTAGGAAAGCTGGCTGAGAGCTCACAGAAAGGCTCTGCCAAGGAGATTTTTTTTTTTTTTTTCTTTTTCTGTGATGACTGCAGCTCACTTGGCCTGAGCTCCAGGTTCCTTGGTTCTGTTCAGAAGTCAGCCCTTTCAGAAGGTAGTACTAGTGTTGATTTCTGGGTGTAATTGTGCTTCTGAAAATATCAGCTATGAATTATATTGGAATTTATGTTTAAGAAAAAGCCAGATGGTGATCAAAATGTGTGGGTGGTTTGGAAATTTTTAAATAAAAGGCCTATCTATGCTCAGCTGCCAGGCCTGAGTCTGGAGTGCTTTCTACTGTGCATCTCTGCTTTCTAGAATGGGTTGTGGAGGGTAGTTGCTTCCTTCTTTTTTCATCACAACCCCTGTGACCTTGGGATAGTCCAAGTCCATTCCATGCCATCACTATGCTAACAGAATCTGATTCCTTGACTTCAGTGAAACTGATAAAAGGACTCGAAATGGTCCTTGTTACTGGAGGCAGTCTTTTAGAAAGGAAGGCAGATGGGATCCCTCAACTCTTAAAGAAAGGGTCACAAATTAAGAGGCTGTGCTCTTAGCAGCCCAGATGATGCCAGTGAGTATTTAAGACTTGCTGAGTAGTTATTATTGGGGACATAATCATGGAGGACCCCATATATCTCTGTTGCCCATTCCAGCACAAACTAAAAACTGACTTTTTGGAATCTCTACAGAAGTCACCTTTATTTTTGTTCTTTTGTACACTGTGAATAAATCCATTATGTCTCTTTGCCACCACAGCTTAACTGGTTTGATTCTCTTCTGTTCTTCCTATTGGAAGTCGTAGTCTGGTTTGAGCGGCAGTTTGTTAATAATCCATGCTTAGCACTCAAGCCCCACTCCCACCCCTCTCTTCTTTGTTGCAGATATCAAGGTGTAATAGGTTTATCAGAGATTAAGGTGACCATTCATAGACTGGTTACTTCCCGTAAGCGCAAAGGGAGGGTTTCTGCAAGAGGTTTCTGCAAGACTGCGGAGCGACTGTTCTTTGTATAGCTGTCACCACAGCATCTCAGCGGTCCACATGGAGTAAAGGCCCTGAGGTGGGAATGTGCTTTGCTCATTGAAGGAGCTGCAAGGAAGCCATTGTGACTGGAAATAGAGTCAGCTAGAAGGGCAGGGGAGGTTAGAAGGTGAGGTCAGAGAGATAATACTAACAGATCACAGAAGACCTACAGGGCATGTTAAGATTTTGTATTTTATTCCAAGTGAAATAGTAAGTCATTGCAGATTTTTGAGCTGATACAACTCCCAACTTAAAAAAAAAAATTACTCTGGCTGCTGTGTGGTGAATAAATAGATTGTGTGATAGGGACAAAGGAGAGACAGAGGGACCATTTAGAAAACTGTTGTTATAATTCAGGGTAGAGATGATGAGATGACAAATGAAATTATTACCTATCTCCAAGAAAGGCTAGAAGACCTAATTAAGAAAACATTGCTAAATGCCCTCATATAGGCAACTTCATATTAGGCTCCAGTATTTGTTAATTCCCATTCTTCCCTTGGAGTTTGCTCTCAGCCCTAAGGGAGAGGTTATAGAACAGAGATCAACACTTACAGGGACACCGGTTGTGAGCAATCGTATCTCAGCCATTTGACCCCAACAGAAGACTTTTTATTTCTTGAGGCACTGCAGTTGGCACACTGTGTCCATTCTGTTATCCCACCCACCAGAGAACTAAAAGGACTGAATCTGTGCCAGGACTCTTGGGCAGCTCTGTTCTCATTGAGGCATTCAATCTTCTTTCTTTCTGTAGTTGCTGTCTTAGACACAGTTTGAGCAGCCTCTTTTACAAAGTATCTTTTCAGCTACCCGGCCTTGCAAGCTGGAGTTAGCTCCCTGATACTCATCTTGACAAGGTAGTTTCACATACCTGAGAGGGCCCTCTAAGAGAAGTAAAGAGGTTTTGTGGTCTTTAACATTTGAGCTTTTTCCTCATTCTTTTGCTGTGATCAAAAGCATTCTGTGATTTATGCAGAATGGTGATTTCTGGCTTTTGCAGTATGGTGAAAAAATTTTATATATTTTACTACATCATTCTTGTTTGAGAAAAGCTTGGTCCTTGGTACACAAGAAACTGCATTGTTGACAATGGTTTTCTTCCCTCCAGAAGGTTACATCAATGTCAGCTTGCTTGGGCTATACATGTCTTGTTGGTAAACATCACTGATGAAACCATGGCACCTTGCCGTAATGTCAGGCAGAATTGCCTGCTCAAAGAGAGCTGCAGTAGCCCACTGCCTTCTTGATTTGTTCTGGGAGCAGTACAGTATATTTTTCCCTTGGGGGGGGGGCAGGAGTCCTAATTGTGTGATAGGCAATAGGAAAGGTGAGTCCCAGAGACTTACAGGCAGAATTTGCTTTAATAGTGATTAATTGTGCCACCTTTGCTTTGCTCCTTCTTCCTTGTAAAAGTTCAGATTACTGGGTCACAAATTGGACTTGGGTGTCTTTGCAATTCATGTACGGTTCTTCTTGTACTGGTTGGACTGCCCCCACCCCCAACCAGGGCTGTAAATATATAGAATAAGCCAGACTCTGTGAGGGCCAGCTCTCTTTAGGAACACTGTTCTATTTTCAAAGAGAAATCATCTTTCCTTTTACCTCAGTTAGAACGTGCTCTAGCCTTTCTGCTCCTGCCTTAGCTGGGGCAGATATGAGAGCCAGCATTGCGTTTCTCTGGCAGGAGCGTTGGCCTCACCCAGGAGCAGTAGGGAGAGGTCATCTGCAGGAAGCACAAATGCCAGATGAGTGCCTTTCTTAGTTGGAGCATTAAAAACTTTGCGGATGCACCTATATTTTTCTTTATCTTTTTTTTTAAAAAGAATTATTTATTTATACAAGAACCGGGGTACAGGCCAGATGCGCGGGAGGGTGAGAGGATCCACCAGAGACAGAGCAGGGAACAGAACAGGCAGACTGATGAAATACACTGCTGAGGGGAGCAGCGGGCGCAACAGGAGAGGTCTGCTTCACCATGAGGGACCCTCGCTGGCAGGCTGGGATCCAACTGTGCTGCAGAGGCTGCAGACAGCTTCACAGTGCGGTGCTCAACTGCCTGCGCCACCAGGGGAGGCCCTGCACCTATATTTTTCATAATCTGAAGTGCCTGGTATCTTCCTTGATGGAGTGAGTTGCCTTGTGTTCCATGACCTTTATTTTTTTCCTTTCCTTGGTTCATTACAGTGTGAGTGACTGCCCCATGTTGTGTTGATGCCGGTCTGCCATGCTAGCCTGTCTGCCAGGGCCAGGTGACCTGTCCTTTCAGCTTCTTTCTCACACGCAGATGAACACTGGACTTCAGAAATGTAAGTAATCTGAATCCCAGGGAAGGGTGATCTATCTCTTATTTCATACCTACTTTTGGGCTACCCCAGAGGCAGGTCTGGGGTACATTGACTGTGAGCTTTGGTACTTCCAAGATATTTTTCAGTACAGCAAGAAAGCAACTGCAAAACCTGCTAGCAATGGGATCTTGTAATCAGAGAGATCCTCTTAAATTGTAGAATTCCCCAGAGTGTATCATCTTAATTTTAATTGTTACTGACAGCAACAGTTTTAATTGTTACTGACGGTAACAAAGCTATAAAGAGCTTTACAGGATATACATATCCTTTTGAAAAGTGTGTGTTTGAAGCCCCATGAGGAATTGAATGAAAACTCAGTCTAGATTACATACTGTATCTCAAACAAACTATTTACACTGTTTTGTTGTTTTGAACTCTCTGAGCACTCTACCATGGAAACAGACAGTTCCCTTTGGCTTTGCTGTCTGCCTTCTAAGCCAGTGACTTGAGTTCATAGACAGTAAAGAAGCTTCCGCCTCCAAAATGGATGGAGAGCTAGCCTTCTTAGCCTCTGGGTGTATTCCCATTAATATATTTTCCACAAGAGCGAGCTTTTTTTTTTTTTTAAAGATAGATAGATTTATTTATTTTTATATACATACATACATACATACATACAAGCACTAGGTACAGTCAGAAGCGTGGGAGGGTGAGAGAATTCACCAGAGCAGGGAACAGAACAGGCAGACCAACGAAATACACTGCTGAGGGGAGCAGCAGGCGAGACAGGGAGAGGTCATCTGCGCCGCGTAGGACCCTTGCTGGTGGCCGGGTATTGAACTGGCGCTGCAGAGGCTGCGGACAGCTTCGCAGCCCAGCACTCAACTGCTGTGCCACCAGGGGAGGCCCAAGATTGAGCTTTTGAGAATGGATAGATCCCTGTCGTCAACTGCTGGAACTGAGACTTTATGCTTCATGTTTTCCCAAATTCCTACCTTCTGTCCCTGTACTACATCTTGTGTAAGGAAAAGATCTGGTTGTTGGCTCATTACCATATACACATCTTCACATGTAAGAATAGTACTAAATTTGGAATAGATCTTCCCTTCAGAGCAAAAAGGGGAATTCAATGAGGCATCTAAGCTTACCCCTCAATAGAAGTGGTGCTTTAGCACCTTGCCCGAATCCTTTGAGACAGGGGTTGACAAACTTTTCTGTAAAGTGCCAGATAGCAAATATTTATTTATTTATTTTGTAAAAGAACAGGGGTGTAGGCCAGAGGTGCAGGGGGTGAGAGGATTCACCAGAGACAGGGTGGGGAGCAGAACAGGTAGATTGACTGAAATACACTGCTGAGGGGAGCAGTGGGCGAGGCAGGAAAGGTCTGTTGCACCGTGTGTGGGTTAGCTCCTTGGCCAGGGTTGGAACTCAGTCTATGGCACTGATAGCGCAGAGACTTAACCCCTAGGCCACCAGGGAGGCCCCAGATGGCAAATATTTTAAGCTTTTTTAGCCATATGGTCTATTACATTGACTCAGCTCTGCTGTAGTTGGACAAAGAGAGATTAGGCCATAAGTAAACATGGGAGTGTAGCTGTGTTCCAGTAAAACTTTTCACAAAAACCCAGCAGCTGAATTTTGTCCCACAGGCTATAGTCTGCTGACCCCTGTTCTTTCACATTTCTTCAGAAGCTAAAAATGGTCTAATCTCTTGGCTTTCTTTGAATGAGAGTAAGACTCAGAGATGACTAGTTCTAAATTTGGCCAGTGATTCCAACTTGCATAATGATAAAGCTGACAGCAATCTTTCTGTAGCTGCTTGGTACAAATAGGCAAGCTGGGTATATCAGCTTTCTCCACAGCCTTTCCCTTAATAAATGGTGGTGGCTTGGTGAAGTTGTATGTGCTCCCTGGCCACCCAAATCTACACGCTAACTGCATTCTGACTGGCTCTGGACTTCCAGGTTACTGTAAGCTTCTAAGTATACTCAAGAGGAAGTATACTTGGAAGCATACAATAAGCTGACATAAAGCAGCTCACTTTTTTCTAACACAGTCTCCTTAACATAAGCTGACAGCTTTACCTAAGATGGAATCTCAAGGGCAGAGGAAAGGGAAATTTTTCACAGCTTTATCTTGGCTTCTGACTTTGGGTCTCCACTCCTTTCTCCCCAAAGCAGCCCCCAAGTATCCTCTGCTACCACTGTCTCAAATCTGTATTCAAGAATTAGAATCTGGGGCCTCCCTGGTGGCACAAGGGGTTTAAGATGCAACCTCTGAAGCTCTCTGTAGCCACTGCAGCACAGGTTTGATCCCCGGCCAGGGGCGTGACCCACATGGCATAGCAGACCTCTTCTCACTCACCCGCTGCTTTGCTCAGCAGTGTATTTCAGTCAATTTGCCTGTTCTGTTCCCCACTCTGTCTCTGGTGAATCCCGTCACTCCCCTACACCTCTGGCCTGTACCCAACTTCTTGTATGCATAAATCAATCAATCAAAAAAAAAAAAAGAATTAGAATTTGTCTTCCCTAGTTTCAGACCCTCCTGTCTGTTTGGGGAACGCTATATTTGAATCCCTTCCACTCTTACTGCCATCCTTAACTACACCCAACCTTTTTGGAGGAGAAACTACCCACTTATGTTTTTAAGCTTGCTTGCTTTTCTGCTCTTCCAGAATGTGATAAGGAAGGAAAAAATACTGTCACGTGACTCATAGGTATTGTCATAATTTATAGTTGAGGTGAGGTGGAGTATAAGCAGTTTCCTTTGGGAGGGCCCAGGCCAATATAGACCTTAAAACCAGTTTTGTGACTGCTATTCAGCCTTTACCTACTAAAGGGTCATCCTCAGAGGTGTCTTACAGGTTACTGGAAGTGCAAAGCATGTTATCTGGTAGGCATGAGAAGGGTGCAGAGATGTTTATAGCTTAATTTGCTGTATATTTTAAGAGGAAGGAGGGGAAGTCAGGAGATAGTTGTGCAGCTTCTTGGTATATCATTCGCCACAAGGCAGCCTGGACTAGAGAGCATCTTGGCTTTGGGTGGGTCCTGCGCATCCACAGGTGACGTTAGGTGGGTGCCCTTCTGAAGCCAGATTTGTAGATTGTATATTCCAGCGTCACTTGTTTTGAGACATCATCCTCAGTTATTTTGGAACTCTGTACTTGCAAAATCAATTTTCCTCTGACCCTTCATCTCACAATCCCCCAGAAAATGTATTTTTGAATATTTTTTTCTTCATTAGCCCCAAGCCTTCTGTTCCTATTTCCCTAGTTCGTTGTCAGGTATATAGTAGTGAATATTTCTGGGTGAGTGACTGAAATTACCAAACATCCTTCGTCTTCAAACCATCTTTCACATAATAATTTTGACTTGCTTCATGATAGAGTCTCAGGGCCTGGGACAAGTGTCAAAATTACCCTCTTTTAGGCCATGTTCACCAAGTTTCCCTGCCAGGTCACTGACCGCCTGGTGAAGACCCAAAAAACAGTCTCTGTGCAGAGAGCCTAGGCTTCAGCCATGGCCACCACATAATTTTTATACCAGAAAAGAAAGTAAATTATGCCTGTTCAAAAAAAAAAAAATTAACTTCTTTTACTGCTTCTTTGTATAACTATCTGCCCCCTAGTGGAAGGGCCTGGAAATGGTGAATTGGCCCGCTCACTGGATAAACTCAGAAATAAGGGATTGAGGTATGAAAGTGTGAGAAAAACATAGCTGTTTTTTAAGGGTTGGACGTAACTCTGGTATGTGAGGTGGGTGGTGTTAGATTCCCAGAATGTGATCTTTTGTCTAGTATACTCATCTCATCCTTGGGATTCTTCCTTAACAAATATACTGTAGCCTTGTGTCCACTGTCACCTCCCTTTGATTATGATTCCTTTGACTGCCCTCATGTCAGTGTCGGTGGAGTGTCCCTTCCATAATCCAGAATGAGGCCAAGCTACTACTCTTGCTTTGGAAGAAAAACCAATGTGATAGTTGGTGTTGACTTGGAACAAAGAAACTGTTACTCAGCATACCACTTTATTGCTCTTGTTTGGCCTTCAAGTAGAGAAGCCCACCAGTATGGGGGAAATCCCAGGGTCAGACCTGATTTCCTATCTGAACTAAAACCAATAGCTTTGGACTTGGTACCTATACTGAGTAGATACCGAGTATTCACTACAAATCTGTTCTAGGCAAGGCGCTGGCCTATGTTAGGAGCGTTAACATGATTTTGACCAATCACATACACCTAAGTACAGTGACTGACCAGAGCAACTTCTAGCAGGAATTCTAGCGCTTTGAGTTTAGGGACTGTTTCTCAGTGATCCCAGGATTTGTTTGTGTTTTTTCCTTGTTTAGGAGAATGTAAAAAGGGTCAGAAAATGGGGCTTTCCTGGTGGTGCAAGGGGTTAAGTCTCAGCACTATGAAGCTATCAGCAGCCACTGCAGCATGAGTTCGATCCCTGGCCAGGTAGCTACCCACATGGCTCAGCAGACCTCTCCTGTCTTGCCCGCTGTCTCACCTGTTCTCCCCACTCTGTCTCTAGTGAATCTCTCTCTCTCTCTCTCTCTCTCTCTCTCTCACTCACACACACACACACACCTGCACTTCTGGCCTATACCCCAGTTCTTGTATGCATAAATAAATAAATCTTTTTAAAAAAAAAAAAAGGTTGGGGCCTCTCTGGTGGCACAGGGGTTAAAGACAGCGCTATCAAGCTATTGCCAGCCACTGCAGCATGAGTTCTATCCCCCGGGCTAGCAGGGAGCAACCCACATGGCTCAGCAGACCTCTCCGGCTTTGCCCACTGCTCCCCTCAGCAGTGTGTTTCAGTAAATCTGCCTGTTCTGCTCCCCACTCTCTGGTGAATCCTCTCACTCCCCACATCTCTGACTTACACCCCAGTTCTCGTATGCATAAATAAATAAATCTTAAAAAGAAAAAAGGTCAGAAAACTACCCCACTTTATATAGATTTTATCCTTTCAGTATCTTCCTGGAATCAGGCATCTTATAAACATTCATTTATGGGTGGAGCATCTGTTCTATACTCAGTAAATGAAGCAGATCCTTAAATATGATGGAGCCCTACGAAGTTCAAGGCACTGTACCAGTATTTGAAACCACAAACCCTTTTCCTTTTTTTCTCTAGCTAAGCTCTATGTTGAGCGTGGGACCAATCTCGCTGCCCCTCCTGACTTGAGCTTTCATTACTGCTTCCAAGAGTAGCTGTCTCTAAGGAGTTGATGCCAGCTAAACAGCAAAATGAAGGCAGCTGTGCCCTTTTCCTTCTAGCACACTCATTAGGCCACTTCTGTTCCAGTTGATGCCCAGTGACATGACTTTGAATGGGGTCCCCTTTGGGCCAAGCCAGCTGAGGCCACAAGTCTGGCATTCAGTTCCGATTAGTCCTTGGTCTGTCCCGGCTGCCTTCTGCACAGGGAGGAAGTAGGGAGGGAGTCTGCTAGCTGAGCCTGGGCTCCGAACCAAGCCCCTTTCCTTCTGCTTTGGGAAGTTCATGTGTACTTAGTCAGCAAGCCTTTATTAAGCACCTTCTGTGTATACTTAGGGGAGAGCCTTCCTCAGAGAAAGGGAAAACAGAGCAGAGACCCCTTTCAGGAGCCTGGCATCCTTAAAGAGCTCTTGTTCTCTGAACCTTTTCCTTTTTGACTGGAAACACGACATCCGCTGGAGCCCCCTGATGGGAGGCAACTGGAGATGGGAACAAAGAAACTGTTAACATTAATGAGGCACATTGAGTGGGTATTTCCATAGTCTCCAAAGGAAGACAGGTTTTTCCTCTTTCATTTCGGAAAGTTGACAGCTGACAAGGGCCAAATACAGACTATTTTTGGCTCTCGGGACTTAAAGATTCTCTGAATCCTTTCTTCTTAATTCCCTCCCTGCTGCCCTGTCATTATTGTCACCCTCACATGGCAATAAATAAAGCCTTTTGATCTTCACCCAGTCAGGCATAAAGTAAGCGATAAATAAAAGTGAACTTGTGACATGGGGAGTGATATTAGCATCTTAATCCTGTGCTCCTGAAAAAAAGCACCCTGTCTACTGTGCCAGGGTGCCCACCCAATAGGCATGGTGCCCCAGCTGCCAAGGCAAAATAGAAAGTGTCACTGCCCCTGCAGACTGCAGAGTGGTCAACTCTGGGTACCCTCTTTACCAGAGGGCCATGACAAGCACTTCTGCATAGATCCCTCAACCCCCAGGCCAACACAATCTGATAGAAACTTGGAGAAACTGTTCCATGCAGAGGAAGAAGAGCTCTTGATTATCTCTGAGAATTGACTGAGCTCAGCTCTTATAGATACAGGGCTTGGAAAGTTGCCCTGCTGTTTGATCTTTAGGGACCTCATTCGCAAAGTGGGAATCACAATAGTACCTGCCTCCTGAAGGAGGATTCACTGAGATTGTGCTTAGCACAAGGTCCGGCCCATTACAAGCACCCACTAAATGTTAGTAGTGCTTGTTATTTGGGGGCCGAGGCTAGGTCTAAAGTGAAGACTAGGAGTGACAACCGAGTTACTCCCCGAACCCCTGCACTAGCCTAGGCCCTCAAAAGAGGAATCTAGAAGGGCTGGTTGCCTTGGCACTGATGAGCTCCCTCTCCTTCTTTGCTCTCCTTCCCCTTCTCTCTCTCTCTCTAGGGGACACTACACAGAAAATGAGAACTGCTCACTATCCCACCCCAGCCGAATTGGACGCGTATGCTAAGAAGGTCGCAAACAACCCACTGACTATAAAAATCTTCCCCAACAGTGTGAAGGTTCCCCAGCGGAAACACGTTCGTCGTACTGTGAACGGCCTCGACACATCAGCCCAGCGCTACAGCCCCTACCCGACTCAGGCTGCCACCAAGGCAGGCCTGCTTGCCATTGTCAAAGTGCCAGCCAAAAGCATACTCAAGGACTTTGACGGCACCCGAGCCCGGTTGCTCCCTGAGGCCATCATGAACCCCCCAGTGGCACCCTATGCTACTGTGGCACCCAGCACTTTAACCCATCCCCAGGCCCAGGCTCTGGCCCGCCAGCAGGCCCTGCAGCATGCACAGACCCTGGCCCATGCCCCTCCCCAGACGCTGCAGCACCCTCAGGGTATCCCGCCACCCCAGGCACTGTCCCACCCTCAGAGCCTCCAGCAGTCTCAGGGCCTGGGCCACCCTCAGCCGATAGCCCAAACCCAGGGCTTGGTCCATCCTCAGGCCCTGTCTCACCAGGGTCTCCAGCACCCCCCCAATCCCTTGCTGCACGGAGGCCGGAAGATGCCAGACTCAGATGCCCCCCCGAATGTGACCGTGTCTACCTCAACTATCCCCCTTTCAATGGCGGCCACCCTGCAGCACAGCCAGCCCCCGGACCTGAGCAGCATCGTGCACCAGATCAACCAGTTTTGCCAGACGAGGGCAGGCATCAGCACTACCTCAGTGTGTGAGGGCCAGATCGCCAACCCCAGCCCCATTAGTCGCAGTCTGCTCATCAATGCAAGCACCCGGGTGTCGACCCACAGCGTCCCCACACCAATGCCTTCTTGTGTGGTCAATCCCATGGAGCACACCCATGCGGCCACAGCCGCTTTGCCTGCTGCTGGGCCTGTCAACCTGCCCACAGGCATCTCTCGAGCCCCCACTGGCTACCCTAGCGACCTCAAACCAGTCGCCTGGAACCAGCACCAGCTGGCCCACCTACAACAGATGTGCAGTGAGGCTGGTGGGACGCCAGCCCCTGGCCTGACAGGCAAGCATGCGGTGGGACGCGAGTTGGCAGGGCCTGGCTTTGTGGGCAAGGCCCCTGCCTACCCGCAGGAACTCTGCCTGGCACAGTCCTTCCATCTGAAACCACCCCTGGAGAAACCAACCCCATCCCCACCAGTCAACGGCTTGGCAGCCCCACTGGCCTACCCCAATGGTCACTACTTCCAACCCCTCTGGAACAACATTCTGCCCACTCCCAATAGCGACAGCTCGGGGTCTCAGGACCTCGCCATGCCGTTCCACGGAGGGCAGTCCACAGGTGCACCCCTCGACTGTGCGGCGGCTGCTGGGGCCCACTACCGAGCAGGAACCGGGGGCGGTCCAGTGGCCAGCCAAAACAGCTTGATGCAAACAGTGGATTACCTAAGTGGGGATTTCCAGCAGGCCTGCTTCCGTGAACAGAGCCTGGCCATGCTGAGCAAGGCCCATCGAGCCCCTGGCAATCGAGCCCCTGATCCCACAGATAGTCGAAGTCTTCATATTCAGCACCCTGGGTATAGATAGGTAGCTCCGGTGCCCCCCTCCGCAAGCTACATCATACATCACCCTCCTAGGTTTAGTCTTACTTTGAGGAATTGGATAGTTTCAAAGTTTCACTGCTCCAATGTGATCATTCTTAGATGTCTAAGAAAGGGATTTGGTGGGATCTAATTGAAGACAGAAGGATGTCCTCTGTGCCCTCGTCCTCCCCTCCACCAGCCCCAGCAACTTTGGGGTCTATGTTAGGACCTAGCCCCAATGTCATGCTTTTCTTTCTGCTGCCTGCTTCTCTGTCAGTCCCTCCACCGTGGCCATTTTTCACCAGCCCCCTGTCTGTCTGGCATCTCTGCCTGCTTCCTTTAGGACTAAGGTGTGGGCTAAAGGAAGGCCCTAGGTGAGGTGGCTGTAGGTGCCCACCGCCTGGCTTAGGCCTCTGTCTGTCTGTGTGTGTCTCGCTTTGGGACTAAAAAGCCAGACTTTCTAAGTGCTCTGGAAATCCTCCTTTACCCAAAGACCTCAAATCAAAACTGGCCCAGTCTTCATCTCTCCATTCCTCAAGGCTTTGTTTTATATCTACATTGATCCCAGAGCCGCTGCACTTGTCCTTGCCACCTTCCTTAAGGGCATCTGCAGGCACTTGACCATAGCCTTGAGATGGGGGGAAGAATCTGTCTTTGTATTGGTCTCTTGGTCTCTAAGTCCCCTTTCCAGACGTAGAGAAATGCAGTGACCACCTAGTATACCCAAGATCTCTTTCTGACTGTTGCCTCTTTCCTGACTCATCTGCTGCCCTCATCCCTCACTCCTTAAAAAAAGAAAAAGAAAAAACAAAAAAAGCTCTTCACTTGAGCCATTAGGTAGGTAAGGGATGATCACATTGGAGTTTGGAATTAAAAACACCAAAAAAAAGAAAAAAAGAAAAAAATACATTTGGTTCTCTCTACACTGGCTAAGAATATTGCTCTACACTGTAAGTTTTAAATGTCATGTTTCCGTATGAATGTAGCGTGGGTTTGAGTAGCATTGTGTGTGAGTGGCCCCACAGGTGCATTCACCCCCTAGTCACCTCCTTTCATAGCCCCTCAGTTTAATGAAGAAAGAAGAAAAAAAAAAAAAAACACAAAGCCTTAAGCTCTTTGAATTCTTCCTTTACCAAATGAGCATGGTTCTGGTAGCTGGAGATGGGCCTCCATCGGGAACAGCCCCTCCTGTGCCTCTTCTCTGCACAGACGCCCATCCGCTCCGTGCTCGGTGTGTCTCATTCGCAAGTAACAATTAGTTGGCTAGAAATGTAAAACCTTTCTGTAATTTTAAACTTAGATTATGTTCTGTTGTGATGTTTTACACCCATCTTCTGTTAAAGACGCATAGTTGGGCTCTGATTTTTTTTTTTCCTTCCAAACCAAATAAGCCCTTACCTTTCCTCTTGTCTCTGGGGAATGTGAGCTGATGTTCTTATTTAAACTTTTGGGTTTTGTTTACTATACTATCCACTGTTCTTTAGCCAGAAATTCTCTAGTCATCTGAAGCAATGTGACTGAAGACCAGTTTTTAAATTATGTGTTGGCAAGTTGCCTTATATTTAAAGAGAAAAAAGAAAAGAAAAAAAGAAAAAAAAAAAAAGCCTGATTGTGTTATGCCAAATGATAGCAACATGAAGTTCTAATTTATTGTTCCTGATTGTTTTCCTGTGAACACTGGTACCTCCCTGTCCTGGAGCCCTCAGGAGCACCTGCAGCTTCTGGTGCCATGCCTGCTCCCAAGGTGTTGGTCACCGGCTCACCCAGGCCTCCTTCCAGTTCTTACTTCTCTGAGTTAAATTTAAGAGGACCACTGTCTCCCCTTACCCCTTGCTTGATCTCCAAACCAGATCATTTTTTCCATTGCCTCTCCCCAGAAGGTGAGCTACCATTTTTAAGAAATTGGACCAGACACCAACTTGGGGGCTTTAAATCAAACAACCTCAAACCCATCTCTTCCTGTGTAGGGGTGCAAGTCTCAAGCTCTCACTCCCACCCCTAGTCTGCATGGAAAATGTACTGTGACCCACCCCCTTCCTTAATCCCCTGCTCCCCTCACCTCGGTGAGATGTTTCCTTGTTCACCCTGATCCCCTCTGCCAGCCAACCCCCAACCAGCAATAAGGGTCCAAGCCAGGGCCTCCTATCCACACTCCCTGTCTCCATCCCACACTGCCCCTAGGGAATACCTGGATTCCCCACACTGTCCACATACTGTAGCATCCATTCTCCATCTCCCTCACCTCCTCACCTGTGGTGGTTTCTGGGTGTGATGGGGTTTTTAAAATTATTATAAACCAGTAAAAAGAAAAAACACCTTTTGACCTTGTCCTATTCGTTTAATGCTGTGAATGTCTGAGGCGATTTTTCTTACAATGGTTTCTAACAGGTGTCATTTACTAGAAGGGAAGTAATTCCTCATTTTAAAGAGGATGACCCCAATATATCCCACTCAGAAGCCTTAGCCCTTTCTTTAGACGAGGCTGCTGTTGTGATTGCAGAGCATGGAGTAGATAGTTCATCAGTCCCTGTGGGGGCCCCAACTGGCCCGCCCTGGAGCTGCTCCAAGCTTGGTTGGGATTTGGTGGGTAAGTACGGCTTGCTGCTGGTCACTGGAGGCCCAGAGTGAACTGCCACTTTGATTCTAAGGACCGCTATTGAGGAATGGTTTCCTAACAAAATTAAGCTTCCCCTTCTCCCTCTGGTAACACTTCGGAATTTATGAAGACCTCTGACAGAGACCTTGAAGGTAATAGGTGCTATTGACATGAAAACTGGCCCTCTTGCAATCTGAATCTAACGTGTAGTGGAGAACTTGCCCCTTTTTTGTCTGCAGGGAGGCAAATCCACAAGAGCCGGTTCCCATTTGTCCCCTCCCTTTCTGTTGACTTTGCGTTGGACGGAAGATGTGGTGGAAGGAAGGAAGGAACGATTCCACAGGCGGCGGGGTTCAGTGGGGGTGGAATCGGATCCTTAGCAAGATTGAGCAACTGGGCTCGGTGCTGGCGTGGAAAGCACTCTTCTCTCCCAGGCATGCCCTTTTCTGAGGGGGAGGGGGCATTTTGTGAAGGTGCTCTGCAAGGCTACAAGGCACTCGTCTGGGAATGCATGCAGTGGCATAGTCCTGCCAACGGGGAGCGTGAGCTGGCCCCTTCCGTTGGCCGACCCACAGGAAGCAAGAGCGTGAGTGAAGGTGCTTCTGCGAGAGCTGGAAGCTTTCTGGGCTTAATATGCCAAGACGGCGTTCCTGGCCAAGGGTACTGTCATTACTTAGCAGGCAGCCAGGGGCCCATCTACCCCTAGAACAGTGACTTTCACCTTTTGAGGGCTCTGCTCTTCGTTGGTCCTCGGTTTAATTTCAGGGTCAGTCCTTTCCTATCAACCTTCATGAGAACTCGGCACTTCTGCGTGTGGCAGAGTGGATACGGCAAGAACTAAAGCCCTAGCACCTTCTCCTTACAAGGTAATAGTTCTCATGCCTTGGGCCTCTTGTCTTTCCTCAGGGCTAAGTTGTATAACACTTGAGGCTTATTAATCTTTACAGTAAGTGCAGAGGTGAGCAGGATCACTCATTTTAGCAACGAGTAACTGCCCGCAGTATCTAACTTGCCCAAAAAAGAAAGCACAGTAAGGATCCAAACCCCAATCTGCAAAAATTAAAGATACTTTGTAGGGATTGTTGGAGTTTAGGAAACAATCCAGCCCCTACCCTACACCAGCTTAAAGATCACTGAGAAGTCAGTTCATTCTGTTCCTTTCATTGGTTAAATGTGGATAAGGCACCAACCCACTGAGGCTTATGATGAAAATCCAAGAGTCTTAGATACCTTGAAGGCCCTTTTGCTCATTTTAGTCCTGGGTGTGGGCTGGGCTTTGGAGTCAGAGAAACCTTCATCAAGTATTTATTTTGTAGCGGGAACATGCATTGTCTCATTAAATCTTCACTAAGGTGGGACCTTTGTCAAGTGAAATGAGTCGTATTAAATGAAATAATGCATATGTGCTTAGCAGTATCTGCCACATGGAAGTATGCGATAAGTGACAGCTAGTCTCATTAAAGCCAGAACCATCCAGGGCAGCAGCACTAGCCTGGCAGGGCTTGAAACAGGATTCTAAATGGTCCAGCCCCTGCACCACTCTCATTAGCCGCCAGAGGGCATCGGCAGGCGCCTGTTCCGCACACAGCCTGATGTGGTTTCTGCCTGGGATGATCCCGGGGGCGGGAGTGGCAGCAGCCAATCTCTTGAGTGGGCCTTTGCCTTCACAGTTGGGCCCAGCTTTCCCGGGCCCTAACTGACCCAGAAAAGTCAGGCTGGCACGAAGTTAATAAATACAATTCAGGATTTATTAAAAATCAGGGCTCCCCTGCTGTGCTCTCCTGGCACTAAGTAAATAAATAACCAGAGGGGCACAGCTGGGGAGAGGGGAAGAGAAGTAAGATCTCGAACCAGATTCTTTAACTACCCCTCACTTTCCCAAGCCCTCCCACCCCCTATGGCTCTTGGGACGTAGCACCAGCAGGCACCTCAGTCCTGGGTAGCGTGTGGCCGGCACCAAGGCATGTCTGCCCTGCTCAGAAGAGGAGACAGACGCTGGGATCACTTGTTTCCAAGCCCTTGATGACCCCAAGGCCTGCTCCCCCGCCAGGGTCAGGATTGAAGCACCAATAGGAGGCAGGAGGCACCTGAGGGTGGCAGGGAGGCGGAGAGTGGGAGGGAGAAACAGGGTAACAGAACCTGGACAGCACAGGCAGCTGAAAGGGGTTCCGGCCCCCTCTCCAGGCTCAGCCAGTGCCCGACTGAGGTCATGTCCCCCACCCCCCAACCCTTTCTCCTGGAGCCGCGCGTCTGCCCTCAGCTGAGGATCTTCCGGGGCAGTTCAACAGAGGCACGGATGAAGACCGCATCATCCCGCACGTAGTTGCGCTTGCGGATGTCCTGGTGGGAGATGAACTTGGGGTAACCAAAGCCCAGAGAACTCTCATCCAGGGAGCCCCGCCAAGTGCCTGGTTTTTGGAAATTCTTCCAGTTTGGGTCAGGGTGAAAGGTCTCAGTGACATGTTGTGGCTTGGCCAGCCCAGGGTCGCTCTGATCCAGCAGGGAGAAGGTGACACGGCGAGCAAAGGGCCACTCAAGGAGATTGTCAAAGGCACCCGGCAGCACGCGGATGTAGAGAGAGAGGTGTGTGCCCTCACCACTGCCGTTGCCATTGAGGAATGCTGACACCTGCAGCTTGTAGCCGTACTTGTGGGTGTAGAAGGCTGGGCTGAAGCACTCAAGGTTGGGCTTGGCTTTGGCCTCCTGTAGCCGCCGTCCATAGCTGCCAATCTTCCAGATGAGCACGCCGTCACTGCCCACCGACAGTTCTTCCAGCTCTCGCCGCAGCTCCTGCAGCTCCTGCCGTTGCCGGCTCACCAGGGCGCACATCATGGCCAGATGTGGCTTCACACTCTCCTCCACATGTCGTGCCATTGCCAGCTTAGGGCACTGTTGGCAAAGCCCCAGGCCACGGGGGAAGAAGGAGAGTTATCAGTACAGGCAGGCCCAGGAGAGAGGGGAGGAGTGGGTACAGGCTGGCAGCAGGGGGACCGAAGGCTTCAAAACGGCATACCAGGGACCACCAAAGGCCTATCTACACCTGAGGCTTCAAGGACCAAGGGGGGCTGACAGAGGAGGAGGGGCAGCTCACCCTATGCTTGCAGCCGGAGTCTTTGAATGGGCACAGCACCAGGGCAGTGCTACAGCTGTCCTTCAGGTGGCCCGGCAGGTCCTCCCGAGCCACAGTTCCCACACCACACTGGTTGGGGCAGGGCACAGGCAGCCTTGGACACTGGTACTGGTGGCTCTAGGGCCGAAAGAGAGCAGTCAGTAGCCTGCCTCCCTGCTACCTGCCTCACAGTCCACAGTGGAGGAAGGGCCTCACCTGGATGGTGTCGAAAACGAACTCCTTGGTGCAGTAGGCACAGGGCTGCGTGCGCTTGGGGCACTCGGAGGTGGCATGCTGGGCAAGCAGCCGGCGCATCATGCGGGCACCACACTTGTTCTCACAGTACACACTCTCTTGGGGGCACACGCCCTCGTGGCTCTGAAAATGCCAGAGGGGCCCTGTTAAGGGCTCCCCACGCCACCAGGTGTCCCAGTCTCCCTCCACCCTCAGTTAGGCTCCACTCACCTCAAAGGCCTCCCCGCTGAAGTCACAGCCACAGAACTCGCACTTGAGACGCCGCTTGGGACAGTCGTGCTGCAAGTGTGCAGGGAGGTCCCTGCGGCTCAGCTTGGTGGGGCAGCGATTGGGGCAGGGGACGACATTGAAGCTGCAGGTGTTCAGGTGGCCCTGGGGAAGAAGGCTGCCGTTAGTCCCTGCAAGGGAGGCGTAGTGCCCACCCCCATCAGACCTACCTGTAGGTGGCACAGCGCCCCACTCCAGCGGCAGCCTTCCTCACTGTGGATGCAGCGAATGGACAGGCTCAACACCAGAACCTCCAGCTCTGGGTCTGGATAGATCTGGGGACAAGGAGGGGGACACCAGTCAGAGCCTGCGCTATTGCTCCCGCCTCTCAACCCATCCGCTTCCAAGTAGGCTGGCTCAGCCTTAGATCCAGTCACAGTCTCTTGGACTATTCATCCCTCTGTACCCAGTGGTGAAGGGCACAGGTGGTATCTGCTCCAACACTGGATCCCAGGGTCCCTCACGTGCCTCTGGAGTGGAAGCCGACCAGCCTGCTCATTCCCAGCAGCCCCACACCCTCTGCTTCCTCCCCCCTGGTAGAGGGACCCTGGCCCTCAGCCATAGTCTGGTTGCCCACCCAAAGGGGAGGGGAACACTTCTTATGGGCACAGAGCAGCTCTGTGCACCCCCACAGGCTGGGCATTGTGCCTGCCCTCCAGGGCAAACACAGGCCTAATTTGCAAACTGGCCTGGTGGGAGGGAACAGGCCACCTTTGTGGGGGCGCATGATTCCACCGCACTGTGTTGACATTGGCCCTGAGCCCAGTAGCTGCCAGCAGCGCCAGCCTCCACTAAGGGCAACAGCCTATACCTGGACCTCTGTGCCTGGCACTGCGGACTCACCTTGGCATAGTCCAGAGGAAGCTGGTCCTCAGGGCATTTGAAGACTCCTTCACTGTGAAGGGGGAGGGAATGAATGGGTCAAGGCTCCAGTCTATGGGAAGGAAGAACTTCAGGCCCCACCCCCTCAACCAGGGCAGCCTCCCTTCCTCACCAGATCGTTTCCCAACCAGCTCCAGCTGAGCAGGCAGGCAGAGACACGAAGGTACCCACCTCCCCAGGACCCCAGATCTCAGCTCATCTCCTGAAAGGAGGGTTCAGGGCCCAGTGGAGGCAGCAACAGCTGCCTGAGACAGCATTTGGCCAACAGGTGGCAGCTGCACCCCTCCCCCCAGGAGGGCAGCTGGACTGGGAGAGGAATAGGCTCCCCAGCCAAGCCCTCCCCCCAGGTTAGCTTTCATTGGCTGAAAGCTGATGGGTAGGGTAAGCGGGGAGGGCAGAAATTAAGCACCAGGGC